GAGTTAGCGAAATTGTATCGTGAAACTCGGGAGCGTTTCCTTGGATTCGGACTCGTCGACGAGGTTGCGATACGATTGTTCTTATAACAGACCTCTCCAACTTACCATAGGATAGCTAATTCGATGCGTAATATAAAAACACGCAATGTAGAGACTTAAGGTGCGCTTCATGCTACGTACACCCTCGTTCAGAAGTATGTGGGCGCTTCTTTAATAGAAATAAATATCTAATAAAAGTTGTCCACATATTTATGAACGAGGGTGTATATTCAACGTTCAGGATACGCGGCTAAAAGAATCGCATCTTCGACGGGCATCAACGTTTTAAATAAATCAATCTAATCGTATTATCGCAATGTTATCCAATATTCATTCCGAGTATTGCCTGGCGACATTCTTTAAATTCTCGATACCAGCGTCGCGCGTCGTTCCAGAGTTTTCAATTTTCTTTGCCCCTCCAACCCTTTCGTCTCGACTAGTGCAGCGTCTCGATCTTTCGATAAATTGTAAATACTGCCGATTGTTCCAATATTGAAAGACAGTCGCGGACTGATTGCCAATTACTTTCGGATCAGCGATTTCTTTCTACCTTCCAAGCGACGTTGCATTTTATTTTCAACCGTTATCCGCGTCTTTGTCGGAGGATACGTAAACGGCACGGGTAATTGCTAGAATATCTTCTGCTCTCGGTGCAATGTTGAGCAACGATCGTGTATATTTACGTTCGCAAAAGTAATTAAAAATATTTAAATGACACTTTCTTTTCGATGTCTTAAAGCACCATAAAACGGTGAACAGGCAAAATAATGAAAAAAAATTAATTTTAGCTCTTCGGATTGATCAAATATCCGCTAATAAACGAGCCGCGAACCTGAATAGGAATGTTTCTCCAGACTCCGAGAACTGAAGAATAGCACCGCTGAGTTGCATTTGACCAGGTGTTCGCAGCGCTGACACGGTATTCGTTTTATACACTTTACCTTCGTGTCGTATCGACAGTGACAGACTCGTTCGACAAAGAGCAACGAAACGAAGACACGCTCGCTCGACCGTTTGCCGTAGATTTTCGACACGTCTAAAATACCGCCGAAAAAATCCGATGTAAATCAAATCGTCGTAAAGCATGCTATTGTCTGACACATTATCGCACTCGGTGACCAGAAATCTCTGCACGCCATACATCAACGGCAGTATACGGCCCGTTGAAAGCGATTCGAAGAGCATCGGAGGCTCTCGTCGTGCCCCGATGCTATATGGCAAATGTTTTTCTGGCCTTGGCGGGTCGTTTTTCGAAAACCACGGCAAATCGATGAACCGTGTACGTCGTAATTTTTAGCTGGCGTTCGTTATTTTTTGAACGGGAACACGCGGTTGTTTACAGGTTTCGTCGACCGTCGAATCGACGATCCGCGGAAAAATATCCTCGTACTCTCATACGCGTGTCGATAATTACGCGACCAGGACGATCAACTCGGAATTTCTTTTCCAAGTATCTATGGAAACGCACAAATGAAATATTCGTACGTTTCATGCGTGAAATTGTTAATCGAATGCTCTTTAAAGTACGGTTGCATCGTTGTCCAAAAAGATCTCAGTTTACTAATTGCAGTTGGTTTAAGTTGTAAAGTTCGGCTCGTAACCGACTTTACGGGCACACAAGATCCAACAAACTATACCGCCGATAACGGACCACCCTGTACGCATCGCGTTAGAAGAATCGATATCTGGTAACGAAAAGGCTTGTTGACGAAGTGCTCGAAAACTCAACGACGCTGACTGTGGCGTTACGAGGAGAAAGCTCGTAGCTTTTAATAACATCGTTTCCCATCGGGACGAGTATCGAGGCAGGCGGCTTTGTTTGCGAACGAAAAAGGGCTTTCAGAGAAGCATTCGACGCGAGTATTTACGGGGAGGCTCTCTTGTCCACGGCACTCGAGAAGCCGCGGAATCATCGAGGAGGAGGAGGAGTAACAGCCAGCAGTCTCTTTGACCCCTCGCTCGTTCTAACCCCTCTCGGGCAATTAATCCCTTTTGCTCGATTAAACTTTTATTCTAGCTTTAATTAAAACTTCTTTTTCACCGCCATTCTCGGCCGCGGCGCTCCGCTTTGGAAGATCGCGCGTCACCGGCGCGATTGCGCCTTCTTAGATAGAAACTGAATCTGCCCGCTAATTGATTTTCGAATCGGGAAGAAAAGTTTACCACGAAGTGGCTAGGGGCTAAAGGTTAGGCCGAAGGGAGTTCGGTGTCTCGATGGGGACGAGCATCCTTCGCGAGAAGATCCGCTCGAAAAAGTTCGAGACGACGAATGACGAGACACGGTGTAAATAAGACAAACAACGATCGAGGCTAGGGGAGAACGAAAGTTATCCAGCGCGAACAAGTGTTTCTGGTCCTTGCTTTCGCCGAAAATCTGTCCGTCTACGAGCGTGTACACGCGTGTGGCTCATCGACACCAAGCAGACCTATTTCAAGCCAACGGTAGAGTTTAGGGTTCCACGGTTGACTTTAGCCGGGGCATTTCTCGCCCGAAAGAAAACTCTCTTCAACCACCCGCGAACCTCGCGTCGGAGTTATAACGATCTGGGATTCTCTCGGTCCTAATGATTTTAATTACTAGCTGCCATAGGGTGCGATTCTGTCGCGCCAGTGAAAAAGTATTAATTACGTTCCGAGAAACCCCGATATCTCTGTTTTTTGCTGATTTTTATCGGACGACTCACGTAATACGTTGAAGCGCGACAGCCACCTGAATGGGATCGTCGTTAATTATCTTCGAACAGTAAAGTAACTCGGCGTGGGTCGAACAATATCGTCCGGAGAAGACGGAATTCCGATAGGTCGGTGCTCGTGACGAGTATTTGCGTGCAATAATTCTTCGTAACAGGTGATACGCACGGGCGAAGATCTCGTTTGGCTTGGTATACGTCAATTAAGGAGGTAATCAATCTTAGCTACAAGAAACTCCGTCGAAATCTCGCGTCGAACGCTTCGACCGAACAAACGGCGCGGGACTCGCATGGGTGTTTCGATGTCATCCATTCGAGATTCCTAATCGAGCTGCACGAATACGGGCTAATCTTTGCCTATTTCGATGTCGCTTATCGCGTGAAACGCGTCGCGGTTACACGATCCTGGCCGTGCACCCCGCGGATTTCCCGAAGTTCAATTCACCGCGGCACGATACACACAATACGAATCATCCTGGATCATCATCGATCAAGTCGGACGTCTCTCGACGGGTGGACAAGAATGAATCAGTGAGGCTTATTCGGGGCGTATCGAGGACTCGATCCAGCGGAGTCAGTCGTCGTGTTACACGCGAATCGAAGATCCTTGATACCTGCGCATAAATACGCGCTCACGGCACACCGATGGATCCTCTCCTTTCTCTCCGTTCGTTCTCGTCCGCAAAACGAAACGGAACACCGTTCGGTCCGACCACTTAAAAACTGATCGAAACCTTTTTATGAGCAGTCCTTGGACAGGGGTGGTGCTCCGAATATCGCGTGGATCGCGATAGAGACAACTGTCGGAAGAGGGGAGAGAGAGGATGGAGGGGAAAGACCGGTTCGCTCGTGCAAATTCGACAATCGAATCGCGAACTCGTACGAGTGCTCCACGCCTTCTCTTACCCAAATTTTTGTTCAAATAATGCTTAGTTTATTTTAATAATCATATTTTCAAGCAAGAACCTTGCTTCTTCGGATTAAAAGTCTCGTCACGAGATTACGATACATCTACGTTGTTTCATCCGCAAACGTCGCGATGGAAATTCGTATTCGAAATTAGCTTGAATGATCGCGTCATCTGAAACGGAATGTTTTACGACGAAGCAATTTCTCGCCGTTGCACCGCGATTTATTGGGCAGTCTGTGTTCGCAATAGTAGTTCAAATATTTGATTCCGGTGGGAACAGTCGATAAAAAAAAAAAAGGACTGCAAATGACAGATACTCGCAACAAATATTTCGTGCCACCTCTCCGCTTTTCGGTCGGAAACTCCAATTTCAGCTCACCATCGCTGAGCTTCGATTAGAATTTGTAAATTCATCTAGTTCCGCACGTTTCTCCCGAGAATATTTACTAACTCTTACGAAGTTCGGAAAGACTTCAAAAAGTCCTCCGTTGTTAGGCGCTATTGGCAAGACCTCGAGTTAAAAATTTGACTAAATCCCTCTCAGAGACTATTCTGCTAATTTCGTAATTATTAGGTTATATCTAAATCGTTGTTCGCAATCTGATCATTGCACTGCGAAAAATTTCCAAACACGCATTTGATTCGCGAAAAGAGAAGCAAGAATCCAAGTTCGTGGCGAGAAGCCCTCAGGGATTGTAGCTATGTTCGATTATAGCTACAGTACGGGTTTAACAATCCCGAGGTACCCGAGCTATAGATGGGCCAGTAAGTCCCAACAGATTACCGATACCGACATCCCTAGTGGGAGAATTACGAGGAGAAGTATCTAAGCAAATGGAAAGTAATGGAAAGCAAAGGAGCCGACCTATTCGTGGCGCGAAAGAGTTTCGCGCCGATTCAGAGCCTCTCGAGACACGCGGTGTGCGCGAAGCGATCGGGAATCGCGGCACGATACGATCTGCTTCGCTCGGGCTCTCGTAGACCAGGGTGGTCGTCCGGGTAAGAATAAGATTTCATCGCGTAGAACGAGGGTGGCCGTCGACGTCGAGGTATAAGGTGTCCCGGTCGCAACCGAGATCGTCGAGGCGAGCGCTCACGCGAGTTCGGACTCGCAACTTTTTCGACCGCACAAATGGCGAGAAGATAGAGACAGGTTGCGTGCGGGCATCCCTTTCCGCGCGTTACACCAGCGTACGTCGTTGCATGTACGGAAACACGGGGAATTCGCGATAGGAGCGCGCGCGATTTCCAGCTATCTTGGATAAAGAGGGACGAGCAGATTCGAGGGAACACGCGCCGTCCTCGTTCTACCATGAAGAAGCGACGTAGGCGCGTGCTCGCCCGTAGTCGGGTGCCGGTCTTCGGCGTGTGTTGGTGCTGCCGCCAGTGCTGGGGGAACGAACGATTGGCGGACGCTGCGTCGAGTTAGATGCTGAAGAGATCTCAACCGTCAGTTGCGCGGTGGCCACCGTACAGAGTGTTACGGTTGAGGGTGTCACGGTCTCTGTCTCAGTCGCTCCGATACCTTCTTCTCGCTTGCTCTTGGACCGAGTAGAGTAGATTTATTTCGGTGAACGAGGAAATGGTATTTCTGTGACCGCGAATCTCAATTTCGAACAGTGTCAACTAGGCTTCGTTGCTATACATTTTGCGGTGACCGTGAAAACTTATCGAGTCTGGAATGTTGGAACGCGAAGATAGAGATGAACAACTTGGCGAAATTCGTTGAGAATTCGGTGAGTCGTTCGCACGAGCAATCATCGCTTGGATAGAGGAATTCCTAAATTACGCGATGCTCGAACTCGGTTCGCGAAGCGCGTCGATTTAAACGCGATCATCTCGAATTTTGCTCCGTTTCTCGCGCGCGAAACGTCGACTTCCCGGTCAAGTGTTTCGCGAGGGATTCCCGGCGCGCTGTGGATGAACCTGTCGACCGAGTGAAGTGTGATTTTTCGAGTGCAAAGTACTTGGAGGTACTCGGTGAAACGTGGCGCCGCTCGGTTGGGAAGAACACTCGTTGCTACGAACACGTAATCGACGAAATTTGAGACTGTCGACGTTAATCGGGACGATCTTGACGGAAGACCCGGAACAATTTTCGTATCGATTGCACAAGACACACATGTTAGTCGGTCGGAGCAAATATTGGAGAGCGTATACGAGCGACGACAGCGTGCGTTAACAACGAATGCAGGAAGCGGCGGAGCGGTGTGTGATGATCAGAAGAAGCGGAAACGAGGAAAGCCAACGAGCTCGGTAAAGATGCGTGGACTCGGTGCTCCGAGAGGGCACGGGAGATCGGTGAGGCTGTCGTTGGTCTACTGCTACTGTCTTCTGTTGCCGGTGTGCCACGTGCTCGCGGTGACCAGCGAGCTGCCGCCGAAGCTCGATTTGCCCGAGCACTGCTCGTGGGACTCTCGGCAAGACGGATCAGTGACCTGCGTGCACAGCTACTCGGACAATGGCTTCCTGAAAACGAACTTTTCTCAGGCGACGAGCGAGTACGTGACCTCCGTGAATGTCGTCTGCGAGGATACCGAAACGTTGGAGAACGGAGCGCTGAACGTGGACGGATTCGTTCAGTTGTGGAGGCTGCGCTCGCTGAGACTGACGGGATGCAAGTTGGCACACTGGCCGGCCAAGGTTCTTTGCGGGCTGCGAGATCTTCGCAATCTGACCGTTCGCAGCCTGAACGGACGGAAGAGCAAGTACAGCCTGGAGCTGGAGAGCGGCGCATTCGACTCGGTGCCGCAGATCGAGAAGATCGATCTGTCGTGGAACAACATCTGGCAGGTACCGGAACGCTTGTTCTGCCCGCTCTCGAACCTGCTCGCATTGAACATTTCCTGGAACATGCTCAAGGACATCGGGGATCTAGGATTCAGGGAGATGGCGGAGAAGCACCCGAGGCGCCTGCAGGAATCGACGGCCGCACCGGTTTCCTGTTCCTTGGACGTGCAGACGCTGGACGCGTCGAATAATCAAATCTTGGTTCTGCCCGACTACGGGTTCTCGTCATTGAAACGGCTTAGGGTGCTCAACTTGTCGAGCAACGCGATCTCCAGGGTAGCCGACGAAGCTCTACACGGACTGAGGTCCTTGGAGACGTTCGACCTGTCTGGAAACAGAATCGTCGCGCTACCGACGGTCATGTTCCGCGACGCGGCGAAATCATTGAAGGAATTGCGATTGCAAAACAATTCGATCAGCGTGCTGTCGCCCGGGCTCGTGGCCGATATGAATCAGCTCGTCGCTCTGGATCTATCGAGAAACGCGCTAACGAGCTCGTGGCTCAACTCCGCGACCTTTTCCGGGCTGATTCGACTGGTGCTCCTAAACCTGTCCCACAATCGAATCAGCAGATTGGACCCGGCCCTCTTCAAAGACCTCTACACCCTTCAGATATTAAATTTGCAGTACAACGAGATAGAAACTATACCGGCCGACACGTTCGCGCCGATGAGTAATTTGCATACGCTAGATTTAGCGTACAATCGATTAACTTATCTGGACGCTTACTCCCTGAACGGACTGTTCGCACTTTCCCTGCTTTCGCTCGACTCTAATCAGCTCGAAGGAATTCACCCGGATGCCTTTCGGAATTGTTCCAGTATGCAGGACCTGAATCTGTCCGGGAACACCCTGGACAGCATACCTGTCGCTCTCAAAGACATGAGAATGTTGCGTACGTTGGACCTCGGTGAAAATCAGATCAGAAGCCTGAACAGGCCCGGTTTCCGAGGAATGTCGAGCCTGTACGGATTACGTATGATCGGAAACGAAATCACCAACGTCACCATGGAGGATTTCGCCGAATTGCCCGCGTTGCAGATATTGAACCTGGCGCGGAACAGGATCGAAGCGGTGGAGGACGGCGTGTTTTCCGCGAACCCGGCGTTACAGGCCATTCGTTTGGACTCGAATTTGTTGCAGGACATGTCCGGCATATTCGCGAGCGCGCCCGGTCTACTGTGGTTGAACATGTCCGACAACATGATCGTCCAGTTCGATTACAGTTACCTCCCGGAGAAATTGCAGTGGATGGATCTGCATAAAAATCTTATTATGGATCTCGGCGTCGCGCCACAGGGCATGAGATTACAGAGTCTCGACGTGTCGTTCAACCGGCTAACGAGGATACACTCGAGGTCGATACCGGATTCCATCGAGCTTCTGTTCGTGAACGATAATCTGATACAGACCGTGGAGCCGCAGACGTTCTTTGACAAGAAGAATCTAACCAGGGTGGATCTTTACGCGAATCAGATCGTACGGATGAATCTGTCCGCGTTTCAGTTGACTCAAGTGCCGGCGTATCGACAACTCCCGGAGTTTTACATCGGTGGCAACCCCTTCATATGCGACTGCACCACCGAGTGGCTGCAAAGAATCAATTCGCTGTTGTTGAGACAACACCCGAGGGTAATGGACCTCGGCTCGGTCTACTGCAGGCTTCCTTACGATCGACACAAATCGTTCATACCGTTGCTCGAGGCGAAACCGTCTCAATTCCTTTGCACGTACAAGGCGCATTGCTTCGCGCTCTGTCATTGCTGCGACTTCGATGCCTGCGATTGCGAGATGACCTGCCCGGCCAACTGTACTTGCTATCACGATCAATCCTGGTCGGCGAACGTGGTGGATTGCTCCAACTCGGGATACAAGACTCTTCCTGGTCGTCTTCCTATGGACGCCACCGAGGTTTACCTCGATGGAAACAATTTCGGGGAATTGAACTCCCACTCGTTTATCGGCCGGAAGAACCTGCAGATCCTGTACGCGAACGATAGCAACATCATCGCTATACGTAATCATACCTTCAGTGGTTTGAAACGTTTGCTGGTCCTTCATCTGGAGAACAACAAGATAAGCGTGCTTAACGGCGTGGAACTGATGCCGCTGGAGAATCTGAAGGAGCTGTACCTGCAGAACAATCTGCTGACGTTCATAGATAACGGGACGTTTCTTCCGTTACGTCAGCTGGAGGTGTTGCGACTGGAGAACAATCGACTAGGCACTTTCGCCGTTTGGCAGCTCGGCCAGAATCCGTATCTGGTGGATATCGGGCTGTCCAGCAATCCTTGGAGCTGCGAGTGTTCTTATTTGGACCGCGTGCGCGAGTGGATGTCCCGCAACCGGGCGAAGATCAGCGACTGGAGGACCGTCACCTGTTCCCTCGGCATGCCCATAACTCATCCGGCAAACGGATCGGTCATAAATTGCGCTGCATTAACTGGCACGATCTCGGCCATCGAGACGCGACCGCTCGAGGCTTATCTACCGCTCCTGTTGGCCACCGCCGTGCTGATTTTTGCCACGGTGGCGCTGGTGTGTGGCGCCTTCAAGCATCGCCGCACTCTAAGGACATGGGCGGCCAGTAGATGTGGTCTGCGCGCATGCTACAAGACAGCCGCGTTCGAGGATCAAGAGAAACCCTTCGACGCTTACATTTCCTACTCAGCCGTGGACGAGGCGTTCGTCTCGACGATTCTGGTGCCTGGTCTCGAGACATCTTACAGATTATGCTTGCATTATCGAGACCTAGGCGCCGGGAGCAACGTCGCCGACGCGGTCGCCGAAGCTGCCGATTCCTCGAGGCGCACCATTTTGGTATTGTCCAAGAACTTTCTGCACGGCGAGTGGTCCAGGTTCGAGTTTAAAGCGGCGCTCAGGGACGCTCTGAAAGGAAAGGGCCGCTCGGTGATCCTGCTCCTGGTAGGCGGTGTGTGTCCACGAGATCTCGACGCCGATCTCAAAAAGAGAATCACGTCGCACACCGTGCTGGTGTGGGGGGACAAGTTGTTTTGGCAGAAGCTGAGGTTCGCCATGCCAGACGTGTCCCCTGTTCCTGTTTTGGAGAGACCCCTGCCATTGCCGCCTCCGCCGCCGCCCCCGGCGCAGCATCAATGGACGTAGAACTGCCATTATTTAGGTAAGAGCCATTATTCGATCTTCTTACGCTTTGCTCTTCCGTCGTTGCCTCCGGTTTTCTTTCCCTCCCGTTCGTAGTAACCATGGACATCGAATGGCGGTCGGCAACAATAGCGGGATCCGAAGGGATCCGAATGATCATTGGACGATCAAAAAGCGTCGAGTTGAATACCAATTCGAAGATTATTCCGCGCCGATCGATCGGATTTCATTATCGCGAGACGAAATTTTTCCTTTGTTGCTCAACAGAGAATTAACGTTCGCTCTTTTTCGATAGAAAATTATCGTTGCTCCCTCCGTCTCTCTCGCTTCGAACTCAAAGGAAATCTCTCGTTTGCGAATCTCTCGATTCGATTGGATTTATAGCGCGCCGAAATAGTTCGATCCGTTCGTAAAGCTGACACTCGAGCAAGCGCCTACCTCTATAACGGCTATGGTCTAAAATTATATATCATTTCCGAATGACAAACTAACGAGACTACTGTAGCCGTGGCGTTGAACAGGAGTCTCGACCTACAAGCCCGATTTAACGGCGACACATTTCGCGCCATTGTGATCGCGCCATGAATGGGGTCATCTTCGGCGGGTGGGTTTGCGGGAACATATGGACCGGTCGGAGGTATACGAAAAGCATTACGCGTTAAATTTGTCGTCTGTCGTCGGATACAATTAGAAAACTCTATTGATCGGCTGGCTCGTCCGCCCCACGTCCGTGACAATTCTCACCCACTTACCAATTAAGTTGCCTTTATCGGATGGCGCCCTGCCAGGAAGAAAAGGAATATAGTCGGAATTGCGTCGCCCGCGTACACGGAACGGGCACATTATCTTTTATCGATTATCGCGGTAGTCGATGGCGTTCTTAATCCAGTGTAGACTGCGATATGCATCCCCGCGACAATTTAGCCACTGGGTTTTAACGTATTTCCTTTTTGCTTAACGTACTTGCGAAATTTTAGGATTCAAGAATACATTTTCAAAGCTTCGTATATATTCAATGTTAACGAAGTTTGAAGGAAACGAAGTCGCGAGCTCGAACGAGACATGAAATATGGTTTCTTCTTAAACCGATACTCGGTCTATCCTTTCTAAAGAAGCTTTTTCATAACATCGCGCAACGATTAACGAACGGTAGAGGAGGAGATCGAATTTCGAACGACCCGTTTCCCATGGTTCGCGCGATTTCCCTGCCATTTATGCGACCTGTTAACGAGACCAGCCACACGGCTCCGCCGCCAATCAGTCTCGTTTCATCTGGCGCGGAAAGAGTCGTCGGCCCCCGGATTGATTCGAATACGATCCATCGAAGCAGCCTAGGACACCCCACCGTAAAGCGAAATGTCCCAACGAGCCGTACTTTGTCGCGGTGTACGAGAAAATTAGGAAAGTCAATTGATCCATTGGCCCCCCAGAATTCTGCAACAATGTTGGCCACCTCCCCCTCGAGCCTCTGACCCTGTCGTTCGTATCGGGTGACCGTTCCCGGCCACGAGAACTCGACGAGGCGCGTTAACTTTTCGCGACACGCTTCAGTTTCAGCTGTTCCCCGACAAGGTGGTCGCTTGCCTCGTGGAGGGAGATTCTAGGGTTCGGAAGGGACTGCGAGCGGACCCTTTCTATCCGGCGAACTAGCACATTCACGCCCGCGTCATGACGGCTTCCATTAGCAGCTGATCCGTTGATAAGCCGCGCCGATACGGGCCCAGCCTCCATCACTGGAATAACCCTCGATCCGCTCGTCTTACGGGATTACGCAAAAAATATATTAGTTCAACAATGCGCAAATGGGAACAGCTATTGTGCCCAGCGATTTTCGCGCTCCCTGTAGGAAAAAGCTGTCGCCAAGTCGCTTTTTAGAGTAAATGAACTATGTATTTGTCTCCGAATATATAGGCATACTCGACGCTAACGAAAAAGTCCGGACGCATTTGGTAGGAAAGGCAAAATCTAAGAGGGAGGAGTGATATTTTTTTACCATAGGGGTCGAAGAACCCCGCGAGTATATCAATTCCCGTATCATTTTGAATACACCATTTGTATCATTTGGTTTGAGAATCACAGTTTGCGTATCACATTATGTGCAACACATAACGCAGCGAGTGAAATATAATTTATTTATCACAGCAAAACTTTCGCAAGATTTGTTCGACCTGCTCTTGCGTAAACAGATATTCGCTCTCGCGGTATCGATTTATCAGATTACCGAGCTAAATGGTGTTTTTTATAAACACACCCCCCGTTAGTAGAAATCACTTTCGTGTATTTACTGTGGTATGGGATGACCCATTTTAATAATCGTAGTTCCATTTCGATCGAACCGAGAAGCGCACAAGATTTAAGTCGAAAGTGTTTGTCCCTCACAAACAAATGGTTTTAGGACCGACGTTTATTGCAACTGTTCCGTCGTCTCGAGACGCAAAGTAGAATTTTTGCGGACAGACTTCCAGCTCACCCTGTGTATATTCTTCCGTCAAGCGATTCAGGGAAAGAAACGTTTTTAAATTGCTCCTCGGCTGGCGAAAGTGGTCCGTGAAAATTCGCGTACACGCGTGAAGAGCTTTATGTTCGTGTCTCGAGTATTTGGAAAACGATCTAGCTCTTAAATAGAGGGAGGGAGGGAGGGAGAGAGAGAAAGAGAGAGAGATGAAGGATCCAGGTCCGTGTCTTTCCTTCGGCAGTGAGAGGCGCTTTGTAAGATCAGCCCGAAAAGCAGACGGTAAAAGAGAAGCTAGGGTTTCTCGTCGAGTTGGCAGGGGAAAAAGGATCGTGGTCTTTTTACCGTGATTTATTGCACGCCATACGCCTAGCGGTGGGGTTTTGTTGTCAGTTTCGATTTCGGGTATGATGTACGAGTCGCGGAGGGGGTTGAAGAAATGGGTTTTCATCGATTGGCTCCACGGTTGGATACTTCGTGTAACGCGCTTTTAAGTGTACATCACGCGTAATTTAGTCCCATAATTCCCTTGTATTTGTGTGTTTTCTAGCGGCAGAGAAAGGAACGACGAAGGCACGAATCGTCCGCGGATAAACCGGGCAGATTCAATCGGCGAAAAATGATTTTTCCCGTCGATGAACCTGTCGAACGTCGAAAACGTGTTTCGCCTTTGTAATTACGCGAACCCGGGCGTTCGTAAAGTTTCACTGGGAGAAAAATGACGGTAATCCCGGCCAAAAGGTAGTCAAACGAGGAAAAGGAACGAAAAAGAAAAGGGGGCTGTCTCGAGGTGTCTACCGATGGAACAGGTAGATCCTGCGTCTGTGAACCCATTCGTCGGCCTATGCGTTTGTACCTGACAACGGGTGGGCCGAATTTGGAAGACAAACGGGATTACCATCGACCTTGGGTGCATCTTTTTCGACTCGAAGGGACGTTAGAAATTAAAAGAGGGTTCGTAGCGTCGGTTTCTCTCTTTTCTTGTGAGCGCGATCCTCCCCGATGGGTGGTCGTTCCGATGCAGCGTTTAAACGTGACGGAGACGGAAGTGTCCGTGCGTTTCTCAGCCTCCCTTCGTCGGATTATGAAAATCAGTCGATCTCTTTTCGAACGAGAAACGTGCTCTCGAACGATCCGCTTTCGTAAGCGATGATAACTTCGAGTAGATTGGAAATGCACCTTGCGACGCACCGCAGGAAATGAATACTTGCGATATCTAATCGATTCGGTGACAAGCATCGAGAGATATCGTACTCTTTGGCAATAATTGGCGTTAAATTCCGATGGTGGCAATTTTGTCACGAATACTCAACCAATGCTGTTGTAAATTTATAAAAAACGAAATACGATATCTAATCGACAGGAAGTAAGCATTAATAAAAGTGGAAGGATAGTTTTGTTGTACTTGTATAGATGTTGTTTAGTTTTCACTCCAAAAACTAGATTTGTTGTATATAATATAATAGTTTCACCTGTAAATACGTTTTACATTAGACGTAAGGATTATAAATTATAAGGGCTATGTCTGCAACTCTCAGGTATATAAATTTAATTACTGTACCTCATTTAAGCTATGCTGATTATTTTTTTTAAATTAGATGAATCTCATTTTTATTTTACGTTACAATATATTCGAGAGACAAGGACTGATAAAAGGCAAAAATATGAGCCGTTCACTGCACGAATCGATTAACTCCACTAATCACATAAAAATTGTAACATTACTGGCGATTGGTTTTTGGCTATTCTTTGGTAATATTTATTTGAATTTATATTATACAGGGAATTTTAAAAGAACAATGTACAATATCTCATCGCATTTGTCAATCTTTTGTTTTATGGAGTAATCGATTTGTGCGATGAACGGCTCAATTAGCCTCTGCGTACTCATACTTTATAACGATAGCACAAATTCAACCATTCTTGTACTTTGTTAGTTATTAAGGTATGCGTACACAAAGGAAACATCGCAATGTTCCAACGCGTTCCTCTAGTTCTATTTATTATAGTTTTAAATACTCTTCTAATTGTAGACTTTGAGTTACTTGTTCGATTACTAAGATAGGATCGAAGATGTTACAATTTCGGATAGGCTCGTTAAAATCTGACTAAAATATCTATTGTAACGCGACGGCACGTTTGTCAAAGACCCACCATTTTTACACTCGGTTAAACTCTGCGATATTTTCGAGTCTAGCGAGTATCAATATGTTCGCCAAGTATCAAATGGTTATCGGTTCTCTTTGATATCTACACGTTTCATACTATTCGATACCAGATTATCATTGACGGGCTGGTGTCAGTGGTATCGAAACGGTATCGTTTCTATCGCCAAACAGCAAACGATAAACGCGAGAACTACATAGTTCCTCTGTTCGCTAATTTCTGGTTAAACGTCATTTTTTCCTCAGCGTCTCGAGTCCTCCATTACTCTTTTTTCGCACAGGGTGGCGTTTCACGCGCGATTATGTATTTAGTCACAGGCGTCGAAGGACGCACTCCAGAATTAATTGAAAGAAACTGGCGGCTCGTGTCGCTCGTAACTCGTTAGAATTCTTTGCGCGCATTACGCAAATTGCGCGATAAACTTTACGAGTCGGACCGCGTCATGGCTCTAATTACACGCGCACCAAAAGAATAAGCGTCGGTACCTCTAATAACACGGGGGAGATTCGGATACCATCCGTATATGCGTAAAGAAAACGAAGCAAAATTCTAACTGCTCGCGCAAAAATGTGTTCTGCTGGAAAGACTAATAAAGAACGAACGAAAAATAATTGAAAAAACAGAGTGGTTTCATTACTCTCTCCACCAGACCTCCGTTCGTATCCGTGGATTGAACTTAAAACCCTCGTAAATTTCAATAAATCCATTAACTCGGCGCGCATTTACATAACAAAGGATGAATTGAATCGCGCCTTCCGTCGACGTCGATGGAACCGCTGCAGATAATATATCTTCGGTGGGAAAAATATCTGACGAATCACGGCTCATATGTCGCGATCGAAGACAATAAAATGATCCGTTCGCGCGCACCACCGAAGAATCATTCGGGATATATCGACGTATCGTGTCAATTCGAATACGCGGACGTGAAAGACGGTTGGCTTGACGTATCCGCGTATCGACAACCGTGGCATTACATATCCGAGATTGGCGTATCAATCGTCGCGTCTGCGTTGCATTGTCCACCGTCTCCAGCGAAATGTGCTTCCGTAGCCGTATCCTCGAACAAACGGTGCCCTCTCGTTGTCAGTTCGGCGTTTCACGAGGCCACGGAGCCGTTCTCCTTATCCCGCGACCCTTTCCATACGTTCCGTCCTCTCGTCTCGTCGGTATTGTACGTTTCTTCGCCAAGAATCCCTTCGGAAAGCAGCTCTTTCATCGGGCATAAATGTAACTCGCGGTACCGCCCAACGAAACTAGTCGAACGAACCATCTCCGGTGCTCCTCGTTCCTTTTAACGCGTTCGAGACCGATGACTCGGCCTGTGAGTCGCGCAACATCCCACTCGTTTGGCAGATGACGCAGCGTATGTGAAATATCGTACGGATACAATATTTTGAATGACGACTACAAAATAAAAGTTTATCGATCTCAATTATTGAACTGCCACGGTCAACGAATAAAAGCTTCGCCGAGTTATTCATTGAAATAACAGGACTATGTTATAGTAACTGTGAGCTATTCAATTGTACGAACGTTGAAAATGAATTGCTATACGCCGTTTTAACTCGTCATCTATTATTGCAATAAAATGCACGTCTCTGCCGTTATCCTAGGCGCGTTACGCCTGCATGGCGAATCGCGTTGCTCGAACGAATGGATGAATAACGAGCGACGATCTGGAGTGCGATTCTATGGCGCTCTTTCATTGTTCAACGCGAGGGCGATGGACTTTGGTAAATGGAAATCTGTGCCACGGAATTATTGAAATTCGACAGATTCGGGAAACGTAGGCTTTTATTTTTTGTACGCGGTAAACTGTGTAGATAATGTGTAGCTTTCGGATATTCGCATGGTTGGAATTCGCGATTACATCGCTTTTTAAGCGATCTGAAATATTCCAAGAGATTCTTCGAAGATTGCAAATTAGCGCAGGAGAAGGTGGGATTCGAGATAGTAGTACACGATACCAAGGTTTCGTACACTGGACACCACTGATAGCTGAATGCTTGGAAACTATGCGATGATAGTGCTTATAACGCATTCCTACAACAGTTGGCGATGTTTGCTGAAAGTTCGGTGTCTAATGACTACCCGAGTGTTGAATACATTCTTCGAATCTTAATTGAAACCGAATTACTCTCGTACGTACAAAATGTCACGAGGCCTTTGGCGAAGAATATTGTTTGTTGTATAGGAATTTAACCGAATGGTTCCCCCGATATTTATCTCAAAAAAAAAAAAAAAAAAAAAAAAAACGACATTCCAACACCGAGTTGCATGCCGTGTTCTATTAAAAGCAGAAAGAATAATTACAAAAGTCGTGTACACTTCACTGTTTGCACATTCGATATCCCGCCTACTATCGTGTTTCTCGCGTTACTCGTTAACGAGTAAATCGGAGCTTCCGGTGCGTCGAATCGCTAATGAAAATAGCAGAGGTCTTCCATTAAATGTTGCCCTCCGGGTAAAATAATAACGGGAGTCCCGACCGGACGTCGCGGTGTGCGGAGCTCGCTGCTTTACGACACCCAACGCGTTCTCGGAGATTCGACTAATCTTATCGAACGCTTAGCTACACGCGAACGGCACCTGCATCCGCGCGCAATATTTGAACAGCGAGAATTTTTATGACGCTTTTAGTCACGGGACTGGGTACGACTGGTCATGCATCGCCGAGATTTTTTTCCCTCGAGTTCCTCGTGCAAGAACACGGTTCGGTTGCCTCTTTGGTGAAGTCGTTAACAGACTTATCTCGGTAGCGTGTTTGGTCAATTTGGAAAGCGTCTCTTCCCTTCGGCGCTCAACGATTCCTGTCGCGCCGCCCGCGCGGGCTAACTTCGTCATCGGAGAGCTTCTTGCGTTTTACTTAAGAGCCACTTCCACTTTTAATACGCGCTTCGTGCTTCTTATCTTATCGAACTTCTTTTGCCCCACCCAGCTAACCATTTTTTATTACTTCCAACTTCCATTCCTCTCACGGCTTTAAGAAGGTCCCTCGGTACTTTGAACCGCGTCGCAACGAAGTTAACGGGGACGAACGTCGCGTACTTGGCGAAAATTTCATACGACTCTCGCGTTTTTCATCGTCTCGCCGGGCTCTTTCAATTTATACCTCCTTCGTTACCTCGTTCGCGAGAATATCGTAGATGTTTGAGCGAAAGCATCCCGATCCAATGGTCGTTCGCGGTCGTTGACTTATTTCCAACTCGTTTATAACCCCTTCGGTCCGAGATCCCTTTTTCTTTAGGTGATTGGAATACAGTTCGCTTACCTGGTCGAACGCTTTATAGTAAATATAAATCTTTAAGTCTTAGCTTCATTCTTGAATTCTCACCCACTATTTATTCAACACACGGATGATTGTTTAGTATTTTATTTTGCTTTATTTTAACTGTACTTTTTCTCATACCAAACCTCCTGTATAAATAAATATATAAATAAATATTTCTCCATTTAATATTTATAAATATATAAATATATAAATAAATATTTCTCTCTTAAGGATAAAATCTCGAGCGATAAAGTAATTTCTTAGAACGGTTATAATTAATTTCAAAGCAGGGTTTCTTGGTAGTCGACACCCTCGGTATTTCAACAGCTGCGCTCACCAGTTTACAGTGGTCGGGCAATTCGTCGCTTCCTGTCACCGAAAATTCTTCCTTCCGCCCGGTTTAATCATTAACGACGAGCTTGTCACGGGAAGCGCGGGGATGTTCGTTTATACGTAAAAAAACACGCTATATCGGACCGTAGTTTTTTTCCAGCGAAATTTTTCACAGTAGTGTCCGTTGTATTTTTATCACAGCGGATGTAATACAGCGGTGCGTATACGTGTTCCGTAAAATATGGTTACGTTGATTACTTTTTTCCCCCTTCCCTACGACGTTCCACGGATCCCCATTTTACTGCACTTTTCCCCTCGTGCGTTGTTCGGTTAATGCAAAGGATCGAATATGACTCACCGGTAGGGACCAGAGTTTTCGTGGATTTACGACCGCGTAGAAATCGATAACGCGTTCGGTGTTAAAACGTTCTCTCTTAGAACTACGAAAAGGATTATTATAGGATTTTAGTATAGGACAAATGTTTAAGATTTTCTGTACGCAGCAATAGTTATGTAAAGCGGTCGACATACTATTGTACGTGATTCGAACCCACGATCTTCGGATCTACAGTCAATCGCTTTTCTTACACGACCAATCTCGCACCCCACGATTCGTGTTCTTGTTTGACTCCATATGTAGAAACATACCGGTAGCATTAATTTTACCTCGATGAAACGTAAACGATTCCAGAGGTCTCGAATTAGGGGGTCAAACTCTGTAGAAATCATGGAGGATCTTCCTCGCAAACTTCGAAGAAAATTCCCTGCTCGACTTTACTGGAATCGCTTTCGGATG